CGAGGCAAATACAGCAAGATCAACGGAATATCATTATACGAATTGTTCTTTTAATAACTGTGTGTTCAATAAATAATTTTGTTCGAATTGCAAAAAATTTTCTCACCGAATATCCCTCGAACATTGATAAATAACTCATAATTTTATCACAACTTCCTCAAGCACGTTATTTGGTAACATCCCGACGCCGAAGGCGAAAACTGTGATAAAATTATTTCGTTAGTTATCAATGTCCTTGGGATATTATAGCTGAAAATCAACCTCGATGATTCTGAAGAATTTTATAATATTTTCGTTTGACAATATGAATGTGAAATGTGGCTTTTTCAAAAACACAGTACTTCAGAACAAAATGAGAGCCATACTACTTTAAATGTACAGGAAATATCTCACAATGAAGTGTTATTCGAAAAAGTAGACTGGAAACTTCATAACCAACAACTCTGTGGAGTTGAGTAAGAATCTATGACATCATATTACGAGTAATGACCAAGATTTATAGATAACTCCTTGAGTGCATATTGCAATAATATTCCACCGGAACAAAAGAAAACGAACAATGTTGGTGATAATGATATTAATAAATGTGGTTGTTCAACAACGTATTAATCATGGTATATCAATAAAATCGGTGTAACGGTGTAATTATAACGTTTCCGATTCATTATATGATATCCACAAATTATATCAATTTGCCAATACTCAAGGTGAGCAAAATTAATTCAATCAAGATTGAGGCGAGGTAATAATTTTATTGATATTGTGAGGGAGTGATAATGTTTCCATTATTCAGGTTATCGACATCCATTTCTTGGGATTGCAAAACAAAGTCTAGTCAAATTAGAGTATTCAAACGAATAGAATATTGTATTTGTTCGAAAATGAACTTATAGGACGACACTGCATTAACGTTAGTTATAAATACACGTGGTATGAAAACGTGGATCGTTGAAGAAACTGGAAGAAACATATGCTCGGGGGTCACTTAGCAATCCTTACTCGAAGAAAACATACTGGTGATCACTTGAGACGTTGAAGATATCCAAATAGTCAAGAATATATGGGTCAACATCTTTCTCTATGATTTTCAATATCATTGGTAGCTGGTCTATAGCTATTTGTAATATTTTTCTTGTTCTTTTTGGTATACGTTGAGTTCAAGCAAACAAGATGGAAGAAAACCCTTTCTATATGACATTTTGTAAAGCCCTCAGAACCCTACTACCTGTTAGTTGACGCATTTATCATAGGTACTTCGACAGGACCAGCGGTTTTGTTAGTATATGTTGAACTCGAGCAAGCAAGATGGAAAAAACCCCTTCAGAACCCAAGTGTAATGTTTCGTCCTGTATATGTTGTTTTAGATCAGGGGTCTCCAAACTACGGCCCGCGGGCCAAATCCGGCCCGCCAGTGTCATTAATCCGGCCCGCGACAGCCAATGATTTACTGTCATCAATCTGGCCCGCGACAGCCAATGATTACCTAATTGTTATTACTATTGCTGTGATAAGTTGAAGAAGAAAACACAGAATGATAATTACTCGGTTTTATTTACTTGCAAGGTAAAACTTAACGACAGAAATGATGACAAAGTAAACTTAACTTAAGTATCTAAGTTTAAGCATATTAATAACTAACGAATAATTGAAATGAATCACAGTAAAACAAAAACACTAATGAGATTTATGTAATTGTGAATTTTCCACCGACAATACTTTGTAGTTGTGGATCAATTTTACTTGTACCAATTATCAAAAGAGATTTAAGATGTTCATCGGTTAATTGGGATCTGTAAACATTCTTTGTGTACTTCATCTTCGAAATCGTTTTCTCACACATGTAAGTAATAACAA